TCTGTAATCTTGAACTTCTCTTCATTTTTGAGAGGAACGTTCTCCTCATGTCAGGCCTAAGGAGCTGGCCCCTTCTCGTGCCTGTATTGTTCCTCAGACCCCAGGGACACTGTCACACCGTGGAGGGGAGCTTCTGAGAGGCGCCTGGCTCTCCAGCACTCAGGAGTTGACCTTCCACCCGAGGTTCCACATCCCCCGATGTGAGCCCTTCATGGGACCTAGGCCGGCCGTGTTTCTCTCTCCCAGGGATGCCGTCCTCCCTGCCCTTCACGGGGCTTCCTCCTACCATCTCTCGGGGGCTCCTTGCTGTGATGGGTGCAGTGTGGCCTGTTGGCTGACGTGTGCTGGCAGCATTTCACAGCAGGCCTTGGAGAAACGCAGCCCAAGTTCTCCTGGGAGCCCGGCCTCTTGTGCGAGCTGTTACACACTCAGAGCTGTTACGCACTCAGAGCTCACTCTAGAAGGGAAATAGAAAGCAGCAGAATTTGGAGCTGGATTCCATTACTGGAGACCAGCATTTAAACACAGAACATACAGAAGTGCTACTATGAGAAATGGCCATGAAAAAGATGACCCAGTGTGGACTGACCGGCTCTGGAAGGAGCCGGAGGAGGAGAGTGTGCCACGGGCCCACTGCCATGCGTGTAGGGAGTGGTGCTTTCTCCCCAAAACCTCCTGCCCAGGCTTTTTCCCCTACACCTCCCTAAAATCCCACTGCTCCCGGGCCTCCACTAGGGCCCCCTGGTCTCATTCATGCTCTCTGTCTGAATGACCCCATCTGCTTCTGAGCTAAAGCAGCCACTGTGAGGTGCTGACAGGAGGCCTGTCTACCAAGGTCTTGGACAGTTGACTTTTCCCCCTGTATGAGCCAAAGGCAGCAGCATCGCCTGTTCTCACACACAGGTCATTGTCTCTCCCTTGTCACCCCAGACCTGCTGTTCTCTGTGTTTCCTGTGCCTTCTCCTACGTCAGTGGAGCCTCTCCAGCTCCCTCCTGCCCCTGCTCTCCCAGGACCGTCGCTTTGCTCCTGTCCCTCCCCTCTGCCACGCCTGCCACGCCATCTTCAAGGTCGTCTTGAGTTCATGTCCCCATCCTCTAGTCCAGCCTTTACACTGGAAGCCACCATCTTTCCATCACGCTGCCCAGATCTCAGCAGCTTGTCACCACCTGCAAGGTGACGTCTATGTTCCTCGCTTCCCCTCGCACGCCTCGGACATCTGACCCCCGCCCCTTTGGCCCACCTCATCTCCAGCCATTCCCCACCATCGCCCCGGCACCTGCTCTGTGTTCAGTTCCCAAACCAGCTGCCCAGTCCGTCCACATTGCTGCTCTTCTGAAGCTGCCCTCACAGGAGTGGAGAGCGCAGCCTTCTAGGTTTTTAAGAATAGCCTCTCGACTGAATCCAAATTACACAGAACAAACCCTGCTCTGTGCAGCAGAGGAAGCTGCCACTCTTGCCTCCTTTGGTGCTTAAAAAAGAACAATGTTAAAATCAGAAGGCCACAGGTCCCCAGCCCCACACGGGGAGCAAATCAAAACACTCCCTGTTCTGTACGCCCCGAGAACTGTGGCTGTGCTTAGCCCTATCCCACTGCTGTCATGATTTCTGTGGGTGAGTCAGCCATTCTGTCTGGATTAAAAGTTCCCTGGTGGCAGGGATGTGCCTTCACAGTGCCTGGCCCCCATCGTTCATATGTTGAACAAGCAAATACCCGGATTCCATACTCGACAAGGAAGTCGGCCAAGCGTATAGCAAAAGCATCTCTATCTTTCTCACACTGCACGAGAGAGGGGCTTGCTAATTTGAGACCCTTGTTATCACGTCATCAGAAACAGCACAGGTGAGACGTGAGATGAGACAACCGTACCCCCGAGACGTGTGATGCCTCAGTCACACATCACTCCTGTGGAAAACCACTCTGCTCTGTGTACCCCCCAGACATGTGATGCCTCAGTCACACATCACTCCTCTGGAAAACCACTCTGCTTCTCCCCTGCTTGTGTAATCTGTGTCTTCCAGCCATAGCTACAGCTTCAGAGAAGGAAAAAAGAAAATCTAAGATGGAGCTTAGTGTGGCGTCCAGCACTGTGGCGTCAGGGCCCGGGGCAGGACCTGAGCACTCAGTTAAGTTCACCCCTGGCCAGCACCTGCAGAATCCACCTGCAATCATTGCTGTTCCCAGCTTGGGGGGAATGAAGGGGTCGAGGATTGTGGGTCTCTGATGTGCTTCCCTTTCAGCGGAGCTTTGTTTTAATCCCTACAAGGTAAAGTGGCTTGCCACCGAACAAGGGGTGAAAGGTTAGCAGCATTTTCTGGGGACTGGGACTTCCTCTTTCCTGATCATCAGGCCTCCTTGCAGAATGAAGAGCTCTTTGGGCACCTGGCACTGAGCTGAGCACTGAGGTTCCACTCTCAGAATAGCATTGACATGTCCCTGTCCCAGAGGGCAGGGGTCCAGGAGTGCCTCTGGGACTGGTCTCAGGAAGGCCCAGCTCACCGTGTCCTGGAGCTGCGTGGGAGCCTTCCCCAGGGAACTCACTCCCTGTGGACCCACATTTTTACTTAATGAGTGAGGCAGGTTCTTCCCCTCTTCCCATAGAAAAATTCTAGTTGTGAAAATGGTTTTTAGAAAAGGAGAGAGGCTCAGTGCCCATATCTCAGTGGTTAGGGCGCCAGCTACATGCACCAGGGCTGGTGGGTTCAAACCCATCCCTGGCCTGCTAAACAACAGTGACAACAACAACAACAAATGGCTGGTCGTTGCGGTGGGCACCTGTAGTCCCAGCTACTTGGGACGCTGAGGCAAGAGAATCGCTTAAGCCCAAGAGTTTGAGGTTGCTGTTAACTGTGATGCCACAGCACTCTACCGAGAGCAACATAGTGAGAGTCTATCTCAAAAAAAAAGAAAGAAAGAAAAAAAAGAAAAGAAAAGGCAAGATCTTGGACTGACCCGAGACTTGCCCCTCGCACCTCCTGACCCTGTGTTGGAACCTTGGCTTCTGCACAGTCGACAGCGCAGGTCGGGAGTGTGGGCCTCTGTCTGCCACGTTCTCAGTGGATTTGCAGGATTGGGCTGCAGGGGAGAGAGCTCGGGCTGTGAGAGGGCTCCTTTCTCTGCTGTGATGAATCGTGCCCACGTGTGGCGCTGGGTTACCCCAGGCCCTCTGAATCATGATCGTTGGGTTTTCTGAGCAGCAACCTGGGACTTTCTAAGATGTAAACGGCAAACATGAAACCTGGTGACGGGAGTGGTGACATCACTGCTGCTCCTTCTGCAGCTGCACTCACGCTGTCTCAGCAGGGGTGACAGGCTGGGAGCGAAATCTGGGAGAATAGCTCTGGGATGTCGTAGGAGGGAAAGCGCCAGGCTCCTGAGCTGGCGTGTCCCGGACTCTGGTGGAGGAGGATGCCCGGTGTGTTGGGAACCTAGTCCGTCTGATTAGCAGGGACTCTGGCTTGTCACAGTGGGATGACAACTTCCAAGACATCATGACATGAGTTCTAGCCTGAGATAACTGGGTCTGTTCTCAGAAGGCCAGCTGGGTGTCCAGCTGTAATTCTCCAGAAATGCCCATTCACATTGCTGCAGATTGAGCAGATTGACACTCACCTGTGTCTAAGTTCAGGCGATCATCCTACACCCACCAGGAGGCAGGGCCTGACTTCAGAACAGGCCAGGCCTCTTTCATCCATCCCAGCTTTCTGCTCTAAACGGTGAACCTTTGGAAGGTGCCGCCTTATTTTGGAATGTGTTTGTCAGTTCCTGGCGTATAGAAACTAACATGGTTAGCGATGGGTAATGCTTTAGAAACACAAGTAACGTTCACCCAGTGCCTTCGTGTTTCAAAGTACTTTGCACTCTGTCTTAGCCCTGCCACGAGTAGGCTACCTTTAGTCCTTATTTTATAAGAATTGGCAAAGTAGGAGACACCTGAGAGCCAGGACACCTGCACTCCGGTTCCCGTCGCCCCACCCACTTGCTCTGAGATCCGGCCTTCATCTCTTAGTTTTGCCATCTTTGTACGAGCAAGGGTGGCGGGAAGATGATGCTGGAAGCTTTTCAAAGGTCCTGGTAATTCAAAAACTCTGATTTGAAAACGGTGGCATGTGCTTCACTCGGCTGTACTCGGTGAGGTGGTTGATTCTCCTGTGGATTTCCAATGCCATCTGCATTTTCTTAACTCTTGAATCCCAGACTTGGGGGTCACTGGAGACGCGCTCTGGCATTCCCACTGTCCTGTGTGCCCTGTGTGCCTTTCAAGCCTTGACATTCAAGGAAAGAGTCTCAGATGCACCCAGATATATTCTGTGGCTCAGAGAAATGGTCAGATGACAGAGCCTATGAGGGAGCTGGGGGGATGTGGTGCCCGTGTCTCCCTGGGGTATGGGGAGGTTGTTGCCTCACAGCAAGAGGCCAGGCTGGAGGTTAAGTGACTCCACCATGGTGGGGTATGGCTGTCACCTGGTTTCCATCATTGTGGGACTGGCTGAAACATGTGGGAATCTGCTCTGAGGGTACAAAGAGAGTAACTCAACAACTCGGCCTCCTGAGGTGCAGTGTTAAATCCTGCCAGACCCACAGCGAGAATAGGCCGTCCAGGAAGGCTGTCGTTCCTGGCCACTTTTTTTTTTTCCCATTTTGATCATAAACTCATTTAAGAATCTCATGGAAGCCGTAAGTGCCCTTCTGCTCAGACTACTGCACGTAGAGTCACAAGCTAGGATGGACCTCGGGGGGCTAGTCTGTGCCCCAAAGCCTGTGGGCCCCAAGTTAGCAGCCCCTGATCTAAGCAGAAGAGCCCAGGCCAGCAGGAACGTCCCGGGGCAGCCCCAGACTCCTATGTCTCAGCTGAAATTGAGTAACTATGACATAAAGTGTATTTCTCTCTTTCTCCTCTGACCATCACCTTCTCTTCCTTTCTGCACTCCTCCATCTCTGGTCATCTCTCTTTGTCCCCTCTCATTTCTCTTCCCATCTCTCGCGCACCTTGCACTCCAGATGTTCCGGCCTGGTTAAAAAGTCTCCGCCTGCACAAGTACGCTGCGCTTTTCTCCCAGATGACCTACGAGGAGATGATGGCCCTCACCGAGTGCCAGCTGGAGGCTCAGGTATGTGCTCAGGATGACCACTGGCTGAGAGGGTACCCCGGAGGGCCTGGGGCAGGTCGTGGACAGCCTTGTTGGACCCACACGGCAGCATGCCTTGTCCTGGGGACTGCCAGGTGCCAGCCAGCATTCCACGGTGAGGCTGGGGTCTTGCCTTTTGGGGTCCAATAGGAGACAGAAGACAATCAGATAACCTCAGGGTAATGAGGAGGAGATAGCACAGTACGAAAAGGCATGAACTACATGTGCCCTAAAAGTTCCCAGGACTAGGGAGAAATCTGTGGAGTCGCCCAGGAGTGACGTTTGACCGTGGCCCTAAGAATCTGTGACCTTGCTTTGGCTTCTCTCACATTCTCCTTCTGCCACCCAGAGCTTGTTTTGGGGAGGGGCAGATCTATTATCTATTGTCCAGTCTGGTGACAAATCAGCTAACTTCTAACCGGACTGGTGAGTGCGGGCACCAGGCCGCGCCTTGGACCTGCCTGACACTGTTAAAAAATTGCATTCAGGCTGGTTTTAGTTGAGACTGGAATAAATTATACAAAATACTTTTTCTTCTGACCACCTTGCCTAACGTGGACCAGCCATTGATGACATTCCCCAGGTGTCAGATTTCATTTCCTTTCTCTGTACCATAAAAGGATAAAGATGTTCCTTCCTTCCAAGGCATCTTTGCCCAGAGTGAATGGCAAAAGCCAGTCTGCAGAACCCTGGAAACTAAGCATGTTTCCTACCATGCTGAGCTCTAGTAAATCCGGCCAACGTCTTTGTTTGCCTTGTTTAAAATGCTATTTGGAAGTCTCAAATTGGCCTCAGTTTCCTTCGAGCAATGACTTAAAAGCATTGGTGGTCTGAACACACTAATAACATTTTCCCTGCGGAAAGAGGAGACTGTAGCACTCGGGCACAGTGGGTCTGAGCCCTGCCCCCCATGGTTATTCGTACCTTCGGTTGACCTCCACGGGCCTGGCCACATCCCAGCGCTGAGACACCAGACGAAGCCCAAAGTCACTGCACAGTCTCCGAGGATGAAAGGCACGAACTTCTCCCACCACTTCGTGGATCTTGACGGCTCCTTCAGATCCCAAGGATGGCTGAGAACTATTTCTAAGAGCATTTTTGTGTGTGGGTCAGAGTTGAGGAAAAAAAATCTAAGTCATCAGTTGTTCAACTTGAGAAAAAAACAAGAAATAAATGATGTGGGGGCAGAGCCAGAGGCCAGGATGACTTTCAGAGTCATTTAATTCACTGGGCTCAAAGAAAGCAGGATATACCCCCAGGGTTCCGTCTTAGTGGCTCTGTTCTCTTGTTGTTTGAGTCATGAGTTTTTAAAGTAAGGGAGATGTTGCTGGCATTCCTGTGTTTTCCTTCCTTTGGGGGGATTCTATGGAATAGTTGCAAGTACTCACCAAATGTTTGTATTAAAGACCTTATTTGAGAAAAGACTATCTGTTAGGAAATTTGCCATGTCCATATCAACAGGTGTTCAACTAAACCCGTGGGCTCCCCATTGCCACCAGTTATGAAGATAAAATCCATAGCTCTTACTGTGAATTCCAATCAGACACCTGAAATTCTGACCACGACTGACTTGTGGATTCATGTTCTATTGTAGTTTTCCTTAGAGAAACAACAGAGAGGCTGCAACTAACAAAAGTTCCCTAGGTTTTTATGACACTGCCGTGGACTTCTCCACCACCTGTAGCCACGGGTCTCCTCAAGACGGGTGAAGATGCAGAAAGGTGTGGGCAGGCTGCGAGGGACCTCCAGGAGCCTGCAGAAGAGGAGGGACATTAGTTAGACTTAAAAATTCTTTTAAGACTATTAAGAAATTCCATGCTGGTGGGATCCTGGTGGGATCCTGTCTCTGTAAGGTACAGAAAGAGACAGATACAAATAAGGGGCACCGACAAAAGATGGGCCTGATGTGTGGCCAGATGGCCTTGGAAGGTACCACGAGCGGAGATCTGTGACGGACGTCAGAGGGAGAGCTGAGGGGGACCAGGCTGTGACTGTGGAGGGACAGACGTGGCAGCACAGCACTAAATAGCTCTGAGTCTCTAAGTAGATGCTTAAAAAACGTGTTTTTAAACATGTTTTTAATAAAATGCATTCAATTACAGAATGTTACCAAAGGCGCAAGGCACAAAATCGTCATCAGCATTCAGAAGCTCAAAGAGAGACAGAATCTCCTGAAGTCTTTGGAAAGGGTAAGTTCTGACCAGGCTAGGGAACATTTCCACCTGGGTTGTGGGAAAACGAGCCAAGGAAAATCTTCATTTGGAAATCAACAGACTTTGAGAGCACGTCTGTCACAGGCTTCATCACCAGATGCAGAGAGGCAGAGCTCCGGGAAGCGGGAGTCAGGGCTAGAGCTGCTTCCTGGGCACCATGCTGCCGGGTCCAGCCCATCCTGACTCAGGGGTGCTGTGAGGGGTGCCCTTTGACCTTGTCCCACGTCCAGCCCATCCTGACTCGGGGGTGCGG